AAAAAAAGAGTAAAACACACTATAAATACACAGTATAGTCTCTCAGTTTGTGAAAGCTTGATTTTCAGCTTGAGACATATTAAACATGAACTCAGAACTAAGATAACAAAGACAGTATCCCAAAATTATGAGCCTGGGATTTTAGTGGGCATGAATGCTTTTGCGTGTACATTTCAGAGTAAGACAGCTATTATTGTTTCAGGCATCTGTAAGTGTGCAACATAATTATGTATGTATTATAAATAATTTTAAGAAAAATTGGCGCCAGGCTGAAACCAATGTGCTATAAAGGTTTCCCACCACTAGATGGCACAATTGTCCTGTTATGCCTTCTCTGTACTCCTTCTGTCCTGTAATAATGGCACCAGTTCACATTTCATTTAAGGCATTTAACTGGCTGACACTGTGAGCCGCAGCAGCTTTCAGTGAGTGCAGAAGTAGAAAGAGCCTCATGTTCTACCTTTCTTTAACTTAATAAAAAATAGTGAGGTGTGAATTGCTCACAGCTGCCTGTCGACATATGAAACAAAATATTTCAGCGACACTAGAATTATGAAGCATAATGAGGGATGTTAGGTCGAGATATGCTGGACATCTTTTGCAGAAGAGTGTGAAACATGATCAGCTGGTGTATAAAAACCACATTAACACCACAGACTGCAATATGTTATTATCTTTGTGGCATGTACTGTTTTCTTCTGCTCCACATTTAAATAATCCGGGGAATGTGTCATCTGTTTCCCGTTTGTCTGAGCCATTAGTGATGGATGGTGTTGTTGCCACAGTCACAGTCATTGTTGTCACAGTCATTTAGCTGTGAGGAGGGAATCCAAATATAAACAGTGGTGCCATAAAGCTAAGTGCCATTGTCACCCAGCTCTGCAAACTCACACTGTCATGATGAACAACACACTGTGGTCAGTCTTCAGACGTGCTCCAGCGTCTTGGAAATAGTGAGCTGAGGACTAAGCATTATTTAATATTTTGCCCTCATTAATGCAAATATACAGTGTGCGTATGAATAATAATTAGCAATATGATAATAATAAACGAGTGCTTCAATTTGCCCTGAGAAAATGAGGCCAATTAAAAATTTGATTAAAAATATAGAGAGGAGACTCAGACATTAAGGAGCCTTGCCACATCCAATACTTCCTCTTCAATGAATCATGCCCTGATAAGACGCACACACTCACACACACACACACACACACAACCACTTTTAATCAATCCCAACATAGCCGACAGACACAGAGAGTATTGGAACATCCGAGCCTGAATAGATGAGGAGTACAAAGATCCCTTTTGGAGCCAATTAGGATAACACTGACTGCATGGTTTACAGAGACACACGTTAAACTGAGTTTTCCTCTCAAAGTCTAAGAGAGCGATTTAATTTCCATGTGGCGATCATCAGGCAGAGGTTGACATTTGAGCCTGTAAGACAGTTGAATGTTTACAGCGTGCATGCGTAAAGCGTATGCCTTTTGAGTGTCTGACATTTAAGAACTGAAGCTATAATTCTTCACAATTTTAACCTCAGTTCTCAAATGTCAGACTGCTCGCAGACATTGTTGAAAGGGAAATAAGAGAAACAGTCATTTTCTATAGCGCTGACATCCTTTTGGATGTCCCCGTGTGAGTTTCTCAGACTGTCATTGTGGAGAGAGATATACCTGTACTCAGAATGAGAGACGGTGTGATCTAATGCACCTCTGAACATGAACAAGGTCAGTCTGGGTCATTGTTGGCTCCACTTTTTCCTGATGTGATTTCAGCCTTGCTATTTTAACTATGATGAAACAATTATTAGCATTCAACAGCCATGAAGTTCTGAAATCATGCTTGCTTATTCGTGGGCTTCTTGAAAAATATTATTAATAACTCATTAGCCCATTAAAGAAGCGAAAAAAGTCATTAATTACTTTTGTGAGCAGCCATTTTGGGTGTGTTTATTGACGCCCAACAGCTAGCTTGACACTAGCCGCGCTAACTTCACTCACATACCTTCTTGTAACAAAATCAGACGTTTCCTGAATGTACGTTTAGCAATGGCAAACGATAGCCAGCCAGCTAAAAACACACAACGTGCACAGTAAATAAACAAACTT